TTCATTTAAACACTAAAGACATAAGTAAGAAGTGGCTGGTACCTGTGTGCGTCCTCGTGTGGGCCTTCAGATGGGAACTTTTAAAGTATGTCTTGCCACATCCTGGGTGGCTGCAGATGTGACTTCTTATCCTTGATGAGTCAATCTGAGGAGTGACTTTTGCTGCTGAAGGGGAAAACCCAGGAGCAGGGGCAATGGGAGAGAGTCTGGTGCCATTCGGGCTCACCACTGGAGGCTTTGAACTTTGCACAACGGGCTGGGGTACCACAAACATGACGGCGCCTTTGGGGACTTGTGTGCCCATGAACACAACAGGGGGGCAAACGGCTGGTGGCTGGCTAGGAGGAGTGCTGGGAACGACTGTTGTCACAACAGGGTTGCTGGCAGGAAGGGGAACCATCTGGCAGATGACTGGCATAGGTGGCACTCCCCCTGCAGATACTGCAGGTGGAGAGACCAACACTGACTTCTGCTGTGGGGACACGGGGGCTGGCTGAGACCTGCAGATGACCGTCTCTGAGGAAGGCACGGAAAAGTCATAAAGTGCAGCACTTGCTTTCTCATCAACATCTGCCACTGTGCTTCTCTCACATTTGGATCTGTTTGGTGACACAGCGGCACATGGTATGTTCTTTCTTGCAGCCTCAACAGTTAGGTGGGTTCTTCTTCTAAAAGAATTGTCCTGATAGTTGAGGATGCTGGCTGCTTTCACTGGGCAGGACTGGTGGTTACACAGCTGGGCATCAGCTGTATGACGAATCACACTTGTTGCCTGAGCTTTGGGGAGTTTGGGGGCAGATCCTGGGCTCTTTTCTTCCTCTTTGAAAGGTGCAGCAATGTGAGGTCTGGCAGTATCTGAGAGTGACTTGAAGTGTACAGTAGATGGCGCTGGTGCCATCAGATTTGACACTTGAGAGGGTTCAAAGTCAGAAGGACTGTAAGGTGGAGTCAAACACTAAAGAAAAGGGAAATACATAAGCATGAGAAATCTACAGTTTATTATGTAAATTTTAAGAAATTCTGTAATTTACATCTATCTTAAAAATAATAATACTTACAAATGCTGGGATTGTATGAAAATCAGGTGTTCCAGGAAGCAGATTCTCTTCCTCTGACAAATCAGATACTGGTGTAACCGGTCTGTTTTCAACGTATTTCTTAAAGTCAGACTTCCAACTGCAGCTCATTGACATAAGTGCTTCTACAGCTTCAAAATCACTTTTCTCTGCAGTTTTGTTCCAGGAATACATACTCTCTTTTGGCCTTTCAGAAATCATTTTCATTCTTTCTTCCTATAAAAACAAGAGGAAAGTTTATAAGCATATTTTCTGTCATCCAAATGACACACAGAGATATGAGCAAATACTGTTTTTTTTATTAACAACTCACACAACTTTCCAAGTTAAAATCAGAAATAATTTTCCTCTCGCACCTACTATGATACTTAGGAAGTTCAGCTACACTTGTTAGGTAGGTAACCCAAACCTCACAGTAGTGGCAATAAAATCTTCCTCATTCTTTCTCTAACACTTAGACTTTAACATTGATATCCTTTCATGGGAGAGAGGCACACCTAGTCCCTTTAAGGGGACTAAGACGAAAATTATCAATGCATTTGTGATCCAAAAAGAGAAGTATTTGGCTAAGAAGAAAAAAAAGTGTTTTATAAAGACTTTCCAGAGTAGCTACCTGCAACTAGAGTCGGACAAAATAAGGGAGAGTGCTGCGAAAACTTTATCTTTTAAAAATATTACAGGTATGGTATGAGGTCTTTTGAGGTACAAATTCCTGATAGACAAAAAGAAAGCCAAAACCTTCTAATAAAGACAAAATGTAGTAGAGCTCTGGCCTGTTGCTCTGGGTCTGACCTTTGGAAAGTCACTTTGCACTTTGGGATAAAAATCAAAAGATAAGGGATCCTCAGGGTATCTTTCAAGTTAAAATTGTACTATTTAAGATCTAAAGTTATTTGGTAACTTGATTATGGTGAAGAAAAATCAAGTGAAATACATAGAAAAAAATTCCAACGCTTATTTTAATTAACTTTCAACCTATTCATATTTGTGCTCCCTTTTACTGAATCTATTTGACACAATGGTTTGCCATGCATAACTACAACTTAGTTAATGCAAAATTACTAAAAACTGGATAATCAAAAAATGTAACATTCTACTTGGAATTTGCGAAAACCGACTTTAAAGAGTGAGCATAATCAAAGTAGAATATATTTTAATTCCTTAAAGAACTGCTTGATGACAAAATAACAGCACATGTTTTGCACTTATGTGTAGACCTCCTACCTAATGTTTTATAGTAAACTTCTTTGAACTACACTACAAGAAAAGGTACTACCCACCATTTCTCCTATTTTTCATTAAAAAAAAAAAACAACTGTTCAGACTTGTTTGGTCAAAGCAGAGATTGTGTAAAAATACCAAAAAAAAAAAAAAAAAAAAAACCAAACAAACCATTCTTTACGTTGCAAGGGACTATTCTCAATACTAGTTTTTCAAAAAAGCATGATGCTTTCGTGTTGAAATCCTGACAACGAGCCATTGCTCTTGAAATATCGCTAACAATGCAATTGCATAATCGCGCCCGCCTTTATGTAAGCTGCAATGGACAGCGCGCGTGTGTGTAACAGCCCCAAGACGCCAATGCAAAGAAAGGAAAAAAGAAAGGCAGGCGGCAGGGAAGGAGAGCGTGAGCTGGGAAAGACAGGAAGGGAAACAGGGAGGGGAGGAAAGGGAGTGGGGCGCGAGGCAGGAAAGGGAAACGCGGGCGGAGGCGCTGGCGGGGGAGGCAGACGAGGGGCGGGGGTGGACGGCGGGGGAGATCCTCGCTGGCCGGGACCGACGGATGGGGCCGCCCTAACCTCAATGAGGCTCGCGGGTGAGTCACTGGGAACATTCCTCGCCGCTCGCACGTCCCCGCGTCCCTGCCCCCGCCATTGGCCGGCCGGCTCGGCGGCCCGGGCCCGGATTGGCTGTGCGGCCCGGGGCGGGGGCGTGGGCGAGGAGGGGGCGAGGCATGTGAACAAAGCGTGATCAGCGGCTGCTCCGGGAGGCGCAGGAAACGTGAACTGGGAATTGCCGCGCCGTCACCTTTCCCCTACTTCCTGAGCCTGCGGGCCCCCGCCCGCGCCCGACCCGGGGGAGGGGCCGCGGGCGCCGCCGCCAACCGCCCGGCCGTGCGCGCCGGGCCCTCGGGGAGGGGCGGGGCTGCGGGCGCCAAGCTCCGGGAGGCGCCCGCCCCTTCCAGCTCCCCGCGAGCAGCCGTTCCCTTAGGAACCGACAGCGGGGCCGGGCCTCGCTCCCGCCCCTGGCGGAGGCCGGGGCTGGGTCACTCGGGGACGAGAAGCTCCCCGGGCGCACCCGCTCCCGACCCACCCCCGGCCTCCGCCTCAGATGCGGGAGGAGGAGCCAGGTCCCCGCGGAAACCCGGCCGCCGCCCTCCTCCCGCCAGCAGCCCCCGGGAACCCGGCCGAGCCCTCGGCACTTCCCGCCCACGCGGCCCACGGGACCTCAGACCACCCCGTCTCTCCCTGCAGACGCGGCGCCCCCTCCCCGTGGCTTCCGGCAGCTCCAGGCCCCTCCCGCTGCGCGTCTCCACGGGTTCCCAGACGTGCAGCCCCCACAGGCCCCGGCTCCAGACGCGCGGCCCCCGCGTCTCGCGGCCCAGCTCCCCCCGCCCACCTTCCCGCCCCAGCTGCTAGGTCCCGCTTCCCACCCTCCCGCCACCGAGGCGGCTCCCCGCCTCTTCCAAGGGGTCGTCAGAAGGCGGCCACCTGCCCCTGGGGTAAGAGTCTCCCTCCAGACGTCTGGAGGAGCAACTCGTCCCCCTGGGCGGTCGGCGGGCCCTCGTGTCATCCCCTGCGCCGACGCCAGGCGCCCCTTCCCCCAGCCGCCGGCTATCTGCTGAGCAGCCCCCGTCCTCCAAGCGTGGGTTCAGACCCCCAGGATGGGTAGCCCACTAGCCTCTCCTGTGGACACCCCGCCTCCCGAGTGCTTGCGAGCAGCCCACTCCTACCCTGGCTCGCGTTCCTGAGCCAGACCGGGCATCTCTCCTCGGTGCCAGGTGCAGGGTAGCCCCCTTGTCCCTCCCACGACTCCCCTTACATGCCGTACCCCAACCTCGCTGCAGGGCAACAGCCCCCTCCTCACTCCTCCCCCGCTCCACAGTCGTCCTCCTCCTCACCAGCCCTCTCGGGTCTCCATGCGGAGTTGCCCCTTCCCCTCCTCAGTACATCTAGAGCAAGACCCCTGTCCCCGTCTCAAGATCCGAGCCCCCGGCTTCGACCCCCTCCCCAACACACACGCCCTCACTAATGCCCATAGTCTGCAGGCAGGAAGCCCTTTCCTTCCCCACGACTCCGCTGCAGCCCCGATTCTCAGGCGTGGCTGATGTCAGGGGCTCGGGGTTCGCGCCCCCTTTGACCCCCCCAGACACGACCAGGCGAGGAAGCACAGGGGCATCCCCAAATGACTTACCGCAGTCTGCTGGAGAGAGGCACCGAAGTTGAGCATGGTTGGCTGCTTGGCCGCCGGCGGCAAGCTGACTGGCTGCTAGGCTGCTGGCTGCTTGGCCACAGACGGGTGCCCGGAGACACTCGACGTCGCTCCCGCCGCCGCCGCGCTCAGCGCCGTCTGCCCCCTCCCCATTCAGGTAGCCGCTCAGCCTGCCCCGCGCTGCGGGCGGGGGCGGGGGCGGAGCCTGAGGCTGGCCAATCAGCGGCAAAGGTGTGTGAGGCGCCGGCCAATGGGCTCGCGGGGCCACGCGTGATCAGCGACTGCCCGGCAGCGTGAAGCTGGTGTCAGTGGAGCGTGTACACAATCCCCGGCAGCGTGTTCCCTCGGCCCTGCCCGGGGGAACTCCAGAGGCCACCTGATTCAGTGACGCCCCCCGCCCCTCGCCCACTCCTCGCCCCTCGTCCCCCGCCCCTGCCTAGAGAGGCGGTGCAGCGGGCGGGGAGGCGCGGCGACGGCAGCGCGCCCAGGCACTGCGGAGGGCCGGCCCCACGTGGGGGGTGGGGAGGGATGCCCGCTCCGCCCAGTCCCCTCAGCGCCGGGCCTCGTCTCAGCCCGCCACGGAGTGGGCGGGACGCCAGGCAGGCGGGGGACGCGGCGGCTGCCAGCCAAGGGGCCGGAGCCAAGAGATTTGCCTTGGAAGCGCCATCCTCTTGCGCGTCTGATGAGGAAGCAGAACCCGGTGACCGACTGAGCTGCATTTCTGAAGCATTTGCTGGGTTTTGCCTCGCTGAGCCTCGGGGAGCACTGGGGCGCGGGATGGGGGACCCTGTCACGGAGCCGACACCTGCTCGCGAGCCCCTCCCCCGCTCACGCCGTGCCGCGGGCTCGCCCTCCCCATCTGCAGTGCCCGCAGCGCCTGCCCGCCCCGCCCATCCTTCCTCCTGGGCAACCGAGAGGATGGCGTGAGGACTCCTGGAAGCCCCAGGGGCGTGGTAGGGAGCCGTAGACCCGAGTTTTTATCGTCGTCTGGCGCCGACACTCGGCTGCAGAATCGAGTTTGAGCTCGGTGTAGCTGAAGTTTAAATTGTAGCTGTTTCAAAGGTAGACCCCATCTCACCCCCACCCCCGACCAAGACCTCTGGAAGCGTCCTGCCTGGAAGCCGCTTGTGGGGAGGGCTCTCCTAGGGTCTCCAGGCTCCCGCTGGAGCACGCCTGGAGGTGGTTTGTCGGCCGTCCCCAGAAACCGCCACCACTACCGCCCCACCCACCCGCTCCAGCCGGTGGGAGGCAGGCTGGGTTTCTGAAAGGAAGCCGCCCGCGTGCTGCGCCCGGGGCTGGGGCTGGGCCTTCTGATCAGGAAAGCCCATGGCTCTGCTTTGGCGCGGATTTGCCCCCTTTTGGCCGTTTGTGCGCGATCACAGCAGCTGTTGTTGGAGAGGAAGGCAGTGATAACGGGGCTTAAAGCAAATCGGAGATAAGATCTCCGATTTAGACAGGCTGAATTTAAGGCAAAATTCACTGTCCCTCCTGCGAGCACTCACGTCTCTGTAACTGAAAGGCTGGTAATGCAAATGGCATTTCTATCCCAATGATCACAGAATGAGCCTAGAAAGGGAATTAATTGTTTTATAAACTGCCAATGCTATCCGTATCTTCCGATGTTTTTTTTTCTAATATTATCTAAGGCCCAGGCTAGCGAACAACAGCAATAATAATGATAATACTGTTGGCCAGGACCAGAGAGGCCCAGGGCTGCGGGGATGAGGACGGAATGGCCTCTTGTCACCGCCCCTCCTGAGTCTGCTGGAAAGGCGCCAGCTCAGCAGCCCGGCAGCTCTTCCTGCCTCTCCCCACCCCATGTCCCTGCTTCTGTCTGCGGGGTGTCCCTCCCCACAGGCTTCCTTCCGCCTGGGCTGTCCCATCCTGTTGACCCAGCCTGAGGGCTGGAGCAGCTGGCCCTGGACACTGCGGCGGGAGAGGAAGCTCCTGTGTGCCCCTCCGCAGGCCTACCTTCCTTCCTGTCGGGGCCCTCCCCTGGGGTGGCTTCTGCCAGACCCTCCAGGCGAGAACCCTGTCCCTTCCTTACGAATGTGGGGCCTGCTGGCCTGGCTCCCCAGCTGGCTGAGAAGCAGGGAGCGGTCTTGACTTGTGAGAGTGATTCAAAACAGGAAAGAAAAGAGAAAAGGGGTAGGAGGAACAGTGTGGTGGTGGCACAATTCCTAGAGATTCAGAGAAAGATGTTTCCCGGGCTCCTCAGATTCAACATATCCAAAACTAAAATTGCTGTTTCTACTCCTTCCCGGATGCAAGCCTTGCCTCCTTCCAGCCTTCACCTTCTCTCTCAAAGCCCTGGATCTGATTGGTCCCCAGGACCCAGCAGTTTTGCCTCAGAAATGTCTCTGTTCTCATTTTCCATTTCTACCCTGGAAATGTTGCACTAGATCAATCTGTCATCAAGTCTTGCTCGGATTAAACAATCTGCAATCCCCCCACCCAACCTCCACCCACACTCCAGCTTATTTTCCACTGCCCAAGCTCTACACTGTGACTGGAATGGCTTTTTAAAAGTCATGATCCAATCATAACATTCTCTCCTTAAAAATGATCCGTGGCTCCTGTTGCCAGGAGATGAAAGGCCATTCAGTTCTGAGCTATCCAGTCTGCCTCCAACTATAGGACTCTCCCAACCCTCCCCACCTCGTCTCCCACCCAGACTTACCCTTGCCCACAGCCACAGCAAACTGCTTGCTGTTCCTCAAACATATGGTGCATTTTCATGTCTCGGTGCCACATCCTCATTCAGGAAACAGTGTTGTGCATGCCTTTGTTCGTTTATCCACTCCATTCGACAACTATTTGTTGAGCATCTACTGTGTTCTAGGCACTGTTCCAGGCATAGCAGCAGTGAACAAGGCAGGCCAGGGGAGACAAAGATAAGTACACGTCAAATATACACATACACACACACACACACACAAGTACCATGAAGGTAAGTTCACTGCAGTGCACCAAATTGTAACAGGGTGATAAGAGTGTGACTGGGCAATTGGTTTGGTATGAAATACAGGAGAAGCCCGCTCCAAGGAGATGTTTAAGCTGAAAACCTCATGAGAGGATAGAAGGATCCCAGGCAAGTGCACCTAAGTAGAGGGAGCAGCTAAGGCAGTCTTATAGCAGGAAAGAGCTGGCCCCGTGGGATGCAGTGTGGCTGGAGGTGCAGAGGGTGTCAGGCAGAGTGGGAGGGGATGAGGTTGGAAAGTAAGGCAGGAGGAGCTAGGCTACTGAGGAAGTTATGGGTCATGGTTTGAAATGGGGATTTTTTTTCTTTCTTTTTTTTTTTTCAGACAGTCTTGCTCTTTCACCAGGCTGGAGTGCAGTGGCGCGATCTCGGCTCACTGAAACCTCTGCCTCCCAGGTTCAAGCAATTCTACTGCCTCAGCCTCCTGAGTAGCTGGGATTACAGGCACACGCCACCATGCCCAGCTAATTTTTGTATTTTTAATAGAGACAGGGTTTCACCATGTTGGCCAGGAGAGTCTCAATCTCTTGACCTTGTGATCTGCCCTCCTTGACCTCCCAAAGTGCTGGGATTACAGGCGTGAGCTACTGCGCCCGGCTGAAATGGGGATTTTCTAAGTACAAGGGGAGGCCATGTACAAGAAATGTACATATGCATCCCTGAAGGCCTCCTTTGCCTTCTTGGCTTTCAAGATCTTTGTACCACTGTCACCTGGTTGAAGCCGTCCTTGATAACACCAGGATGAATTGATGGTTTTCCTTTGCTCCCAGCGTACATTGTCCACACCTTCATGCTGGGAGTGGAGCAGTCATTTTGCAAGAAACATTTTTTACAATACTGAATCCTGCCCATGCTCCACCCAGATCTGAACTCCTGAGATGGTGATCATGTATAATCATCTATTTTTTTTTAGCCAGGGTCTTGCACTGTCACCCAGGCTGGAGTGCAGTGGGGTAATCACAGTTTACTGAACCCTCAGCCTCCTCTGCTCAAATGATCCTCCCACCTCAGCCTTCTGAGTAGTTGAGACTACGGGTGTCTGGTTTGAAATGGGGATTTTCTTTCTTTTTTTTTTTTTTTTTTTTTTTAAAGACGGTGTCTTGCTCTTTCACCAGGCTGGAGTGCAGTAGCGCGATCTCGGCTCACTAAAACCCCCACCTCCCAGGTTCAAGCAAGCACTTGGCTAATTTTTTTTCTTTTTTTTTTTTGAGAGTCTTACTCTGTTGCCCAGGCTGGAGTGCAGTAGTACAGTCTCAGCTCACCGCAAGCTTCGCCTCCTGGTTTCAAGTGATTTTCCTGCCTCAGTCTCTGAGTAGCTGGGATTATAGGCACCTGCCACCACGCCTAGCTAATTTTTGTATTTTTAGTAGAGACAGGGTTTCACATATTGACCAGGCTGTTCTTGAACTCTTGACCTCAAGTGACCCACCTGCCTTGGCCTCCCAAAGTGTTGGCCTCCCAAAAAAAAGCTTGGCCTCCCAAAGCTCTACAGGCGTGAGCTGCTGCACCCAGCCTTGGCTGATTTTTTTTTTTTTTTTTTTTTTTTTTTTTTTTTACTATTTGTGGAGCTTAGGTCTCACTGTGTTGCCCAGGCTGGTCTTGAACTCCTAGGCTCAATCTATCCTCCTTTGTTGGCCTCCCAAAGTGCTTAGATTACAGGCATGACCACCACACCCAGCCTATAATCATCTTTTTGATCCAGTATCTGTTCTATACAAAGCACTCAAGTTTTTTGGGTTTTTTGTTTGTTTGTTTGTTTAATGGAGAAAGTAATTGTAGATTGTCTGAAGACCCACTGGAGTTACAGACAGGATATGTACAAACACCTAGGTGGACGTGTGGGTCCTTCTATGCCTTTCCCTTAGCTTGTGTCATTGTAGGGTCAGACATGGAAAACTGTCATCTTGGGCATATATATGGTGGATATGGCTTGGCTCTGTCCCCACCCAAATCCCACCTTGAACTGTAATCCCCATAATTCCCACTCGTCGAGTGGGGGACCAGGTGGGGAACTTAGGCTGTTAAGGAAAGCAGCCCAGAACATGAAGTGCCTTTGCATGCCATACTAAGGAATGTATAAGTGGAGCTTTTATCCTAAGGACAAGGGGGACCTGCTGACAGGTTGTAACAGGGATGATGGTATAGGAAGCTCATTCTGGCCCAGTGTGGAGAATGGACCAGAGGAGTGAGGGTCTGTCACCATTGAGAAGGCTTTTGCAGGCAGCAAAGATGATGCTGGCCTAAACTAAGAAATGGTGGCAGGTCTGCAGAGGATGGAATAGAGATGCCAAGAGCAAGCAGGATTCGGTAATCAATTGGATGTAGACATAAGGAAGAGGGTAGTATTGAGAACTGCCAGGTTTCTGGCTTGATTCACTGTATGAAATAGAAGGGACCACAGAGACGTAGTGGGCTTTGGTGGAAAGGAAGAAAATGCCATATTTCAGGTCTGGAGCCCAACAGAGAAAGATCTAGGCTGGAGATTAAAATTTTAGCAGGGTGTAATGGCTTATGCCATTAATCCAAGCACTTTGGGAGGCTGAGGCAGGAGGATTGCTCAAACTCAAAAGTTTGAGACCAGCCTGGGCAACACAGGGAGACCTCTGTCTCTACAAAATGTCAGAAAATTAACCAGGTATGGTGGTGCGTGCCCGTAGTCCCAGTTACTTGGGATGCTGAGGCATTCATTGCTTGAACCCAGGAGGTCGAGGCTGCAGTGAGCCAAGTATAAAATGAGTATGTTGAAAACTGTAGCTGTGACTGCAGAGCTGAAAGAAACACACATGGACTGTTTCAGTTATCTCTTGCAGTACAGCAAACCACCCCAAAACCCAGTGACACTCCTGCGGACAGAAGCGGGACCATGGAGTGGAGGGGAGGCAGCCTGGGCTGCGCTTCTATTTATTGTTCATGATTCTGTGGGTCAGGGCTTGGGGATGGCTCATCTCTGCTCCATGTGGTGTCAGCTGGGCCTGCGTGACTGGGGCTGGCAGGTCCCAGGTGGCCCTGGTCATGTGACTGGAGTGTTGGTCCTCGCTGTTCATTGGGGTGCCTTGGTTTTCTCCATGTGGCCCTTCTCGTTTCACATGTTCTCTCATTATTCAGTTTAGCCTGGGCTCCTCTGCCTTGTGGCTAGTTTCCAAGAGGATAAACACAGACATTTCAAAGTCTTCTTAAGATCTAGGCATGGAAGTCCCACAGCACTGCCCCAGATTCTCCTGGTCAAAGCAAGTCACAGGCAGGGCCGGCCCAGAATCAAGGGTTAGGGTAACAGACTTTACCTCTTGATGCAAAAATGGCAGAGTCACAGTAGAAAGGTTACACGGGACAGGAAGGGTTGTGGTGGGCTTTTAAGCTCATAAAATGAAGTTCATAAGATTACAAATGAAGCCATTATATTGATAACACAGTTATCCAAATATAAAAAGATAGGCTGGATGAGGTGGTGCACGTTTGTAATCCAAGCACTTTGGGAGACTGATGCAGAAGGATCTCTTGAGCCCAGGAGTTCAAGACCAGTCTGGGCAACGTAGGAAGACTTCATCTCTATAAATAATAAAAAAAATAATTAGCCAGGCATGGTGGCACATGCCTGTAGTCCCAGCTGCTCAAGAGGCTGAGTTGAGAGGATTGCTTGAGCCTGGGAGGTCAAGGCTGCAGTGAGCCATGATGGTGCCACCACACTGCAGTGTAGGTGACAGAGAGAGACTTTGTCTCTAAAAAATATAAAATATTACACATGTATACACATATAGTGTGGTATTTTGGCATTATAGTGCTGCTTTAATACATTTATTTCTTTTATTATTATTATTATTATTATTATTATTTTTGAGACAGAGTCTCGCTCTGTCACCCAGGCTGGAGTGCAGTGGTGTGATCTCAGCTCACTGCAACCTCTGCCTCCCATGTTCAAGCGATTCTCCTGCCTCAGCCTCCTGAGTAGCTGGGACTACAGGTGCATGCCACCACACCGGGCTAATATTTGTATTTTTAGTAGAGTGGGATTTCACCATGTTGACCAGACCGGTCTCGAACTCCTGACCTCAGGTGAGCCGCCATCCTCAGCCTCCCAAATTGCTGGGATTACAGGTGGGGGCCACACTGCGCTCCACCTATTAACATGTTTAATAACAAGATCTATTGTGGGTCTAACAACTGAGGTAATAATGGAGTTATCATGAGCATAAATGAGATTTCAAGGTCTGCAGTAGGTGTTATGCAATATGGAAATATCTGTGATTTCTCATAGTGACAAAGTCACAGGTCACAGGTCCTGCTGAGCCTAGTGTGGTTTGTTTCCTATAGTTATAGTAAAGAAAACGCTAGGTGTGGTTAAGAGGTTAGTGCAAATAAAAATATGAAATATTTTTCTTAGCCAAGATCACAGACTCCTTGAATTCTATCCACAGATGCCTTGGGAGTCTGAGGAACCCCAGATTCAGCACCCCTGCTTAACCTGCTTTTAAGAAGAAAAAAATGGAACTTGGTAAACTTCACTCAAAGGAGAGACCCACTAATACCTCCACCTACCTCACACCCAGTGAAGGTCTGGCTGTCCCTCTTTCTTCATCTGTTCAGGCTGCTGTAACAAAATGCTGTAAGTGGGTGACTTATAAACAACAGACATTTATTTCTCACAGTTCTGGAGGCTAGAATGTTTGAGATTAAGGTGCCAGCAGATTCAGTGTTTTGTCAGGGCACTGTTTCTCATAGATGGAGTTTTCTCACTGTGTCCTCAGATAGTGGAAGGGACAAACAGGTTCCCTTGGGCCTATTTCCTAAGGGCACTAATCCAAGAGCCCGCATGACTTAATGACCTCCCAAAAGGCCCCAGGTCCAAGTACCGTCATCTTGGGAACTAGGATTTGAATCATAAATTTTGGAGGACACAAGCATTCAGACCATAGCGTGCTCTGAACTCCTAACTGAGACTTGCAGTGAAGGTAGAGAAGAAGGACTGAGGCCAAAAAGCAGTCAGCATTTTTGGTTCCAAACGAAATTTGCCATATTTCAGGTCTAGAGCCCAACAGAGAAAGATCCTGAGGGCTGCAAGACTTGCAGACCTCGCCTCCAGTGGGCAGCTGGAGTGAGGAAAAACAAGGCATGGGGTGAAAGGGATATAAACAAAGTATGGCCTTGGGGGTTAAAAAGTCTGTTTTCATGGGGTTCTTCTGAATATTCTTGGGCCGGTTATTTTAACCTGCTCAGCTTCAGTTTCCTCAACTGCAACGTAAGATTTACATAACTATACCCAAGGAAATCAGGGGTGTTGAGAAGAGTTTAAGTGAGATAATCAATGTGAACATGTTTGGCAAAGACTGAAGTAGTGCTATTCCAACTGTAATGTGCATGGAATCCCTTGGGGGTCTTGCTCAAACAGGTTCTGCTTCAGTGATTCTGGGTTGGGCCCCAACATTCTGCATTTCTACCAAGCAGCATCCCAGGTGGTACCTAAGATGCTACTCTGAGGACCACGCTTCGAGTAGCAGGGTCTAAACTACTCTACAAATGTGCCTAATTATTATTGCCTTTTTTTTTTTTTTTTGAGACGGAATTTCGCTCTGTTGCCCAGGCGGGAGTGCAGTGGCACAGTCTCGGCTCAGGGCAACCTCCACCTCCCAGGTTCAAGTGATTCTCCTGCCTCAGCCTCCTGAGTAGCTGGATTACAGACATGTGTCACACCCAGGTAATTTTTGTATTTTTAGTAGAGACAGGGTTTTGCCATGTTGGCCAGGCTGGTCTCAAACTCCTGACCTCAAGTGATCCATCCACCTCAGCCTCCCAAAGTGCTAGGATTACAGTCTTGAGCCACCATGTGTGGCCCTATTATTGCCATTTTAATATTCTACCCTCTGACCCAAGGAGAATGATAGCTGAAGATAGGGAGGTAGGCCCAGCTCATCTCATGAGGCCAGTCTTCTGCTCAGCAGGACACGCTGGTCTTGGAACTCCACCTCCCCTTTGCTGCCTACCACCACCAGGTCATGATGAAGACTGGCCACAGCCAACTCAAAGAATGCTTCAAACCAAGTCAGTAGAAACTAGTCAAACATGGGGGGTGGGGGCAAAGACTGAATGGGATATTTGTGCAAAAAAAAGAAATGTATGCAGAAAATATTTTGCATTTATAATGCAGAATATCTCAAAAAATTCCCAGAGAATACAACATATGTTTCATCTTCTGGTTTTTTAAGTAAGATCAATCATTCCTGCACAATTCTTTGAAAGCATCCCCTTTCTCATGGCTCTCATGAAGTGAAGAGCCTTTGATAGCTCCTGTTGTTTACATTTACTCTAAGCTTCTGTCTAAGAATGACCAGGAGCAGAAAGGTCAGTGCAGCTGAGAATGTGGAAGATATTATAGAACTCTTGGGCACTGTTGGAGGGAGTATCAACTGGAACCAGTACCACCACTTAGGAAAGCAATCTGGCTTTAGACAGAAGCTTAGAGTGAATGTAACCAACAGGAGCTATCAAAGGCTCTTCACTTCATGAGAGCAATGAGAAAGGGGATGCTTTCGAAGAACTGTGCAGGAATGATTGATCTTACTTAAAAAACCAGAAGATGAAACATATGTTGTATTCTCTGGGAATTTTGTGAGATATTCTGCATTACAAATGCAAAATATTTTCTGCATATATTTCTTTTTTTGCACAAATATCCCATTCAGTCTTTGCCCCCACCCCCCATGTTTGACTAGTTTCTACTGACTTGAGATGTTGAGATGAAGCATGCACATATCCTATGATCTGTGAAAAACTCTGGAATATATATTTTTTCCAAGGAAGTTCTCCCACAAGTTCATAAGGATGCTCATCATGAAACTGATTGGGGTAGCTGGATGTTGAAGGCAGCTTAGGTGCTTATCAGTAGAGAAAAGGATTAATAAAATATGGCAGATGTGGACTGCTGAATACTAAGTAACAGTAAGAAATAACCAACTGGAATTATACTGCAGCACTATAGATCTTTAAAATCCAGGGGTAGCCAGGAACAGTGGCCCATGCCTGTAATTACAGCACTTTGAGAGGCTTGGATGGGAGGATTGCATGAGCCCAGGAGTTTTCAGATCAGCCTAGGCAACATAGTGAGACCCTGTCTCTACAAAAACTAAAAAAATAGTTGGGTGTGGTTGCAGATGCCTGTAGTCCCATATATGTGGGAGACCGAAGTGGGAGGATCACTTGAAGCTTGGAGATTGAGGCTGTAGTGAGCCAAGATCGCATCACTGCACTCCAACCTGGGTGACAGAGTGAGACCCTGTCTCAAAAAACAAAAAAATACCGAGGGGTAAGGGAAAAACATAGGAAATAGGAAAGGATATATAGTACATTATCATTTTTGTAAAGACATCTCACCTAAAATAATATAACTTTTGTAAGAAGGCATCCATGCATATCTAAAGATATATTAAACATATTAAAGTAGGTGCTATGAATTGAAGGAAATATAATTAGGGTTTAGAGGTATAAAGGAAAAATAAAAAGTAAAATAAGGGAAGAACTTTGTTTGGATTAATGATGAAGTACTTAAAAACTGAGCTTTTAATTCAAATTTCTTCACCTGCGGTAGAAAAGTATTAGAGCAAAATCACTCCTCACTCCCCAAACCCTGTTCTACCACAGTGTGTAGGGGTCTTCACAGTCCATCGCTGCATGACCTAAACCAAAGCTAGTTCTCCATCTCGGGTGCCATCTTCCTCACCATCACCTCACAACAGGTCTTTAACTCTTCCTCTTTGACATTTTTTCGCTAGAGTCAACTTCTTTTCATCTTAGCTTCTTGCTACATCCACCTTCAATATGTCCCTAGCAGACAGGGCTGAGTCCCGGTGTGATGTGGACAACTTCAGATAAAGATGTATTAGGGCCAGGTGCGGTGGCTTATGACTGTGATCCCAGCACTTCGGGAGGCCAAGGCAGGGGGATTGCTTGAGTCCAGGAGTTCAAGACCAGCCTGGGAAACATGGTGAAACTCCATCTCTACAAAAACCACAAAAATTATCCAGGTGTGGTGGGATGTTCCTGTAGTGCCAGCTACTTGGGAGGCTGAAGTGGGAGGATTACTTGAGCCCGGGAGGCAGAAGTTACAGTGAACCAAGATCATGCCACTGCATTCCAGTCTGAGTGACACAGTGAGACCCTGTCTGGGAAAAAAAAAAAAAAAAGTTAAGATGTGTTAGATCAGGGATTTGTCTTCTGTGGGTTTGGTGACACTACTGATTTGACATAGAACCTTAGGAAGTCCCTTCATTGTGCTTCTCTCCCCTGTAGCACATTCCACACAGCATGATCATCTGTAATTCAGGTGTTTCTGTTCTCCGTTAGACTGTAAATTCATGGAGGATCAGAACCTTAATTACCGATGTCCACTGCCCAGAACTAATCACATAAGAAGCCTGTCTCTAATAATGTTTGAGAAATGAATGGATTCCCCAGTCCCCTGAATCAGATGATGGAACAATTTGGCCTCTAACTAACTTACACATCTAATTCAAAACTTTAATTGGTTGTAGTTTCAAAGTACTTGTGTGATGGTCCTAGAGTATGCCACATAATAAATATGCAATAACAAGGAGAGTGTTGTCCTAGTCCTGAAGTCCTGGCATAAAGTACCATGTCCATATTTCCCTTTCCTTCAGGACGCTGAGAGAATGCATGTGTGCTCCAGGCAATGACTGGATGAAACAAAAAAGAGAGTCTAGATACCATTAAAGTGTTCGACTCTTGGATTCCTACGGTTTGGGATGCGAAGCAGAACTGGGTGAAACTGTAGGTGAGTGCCTGTGCAGGAAAATAGCGGGTATACATCACTGGCACCTTGCCTCTTTCAGAAAAATCAAACCTGTCTTCTGTGCAGTCAGATCTGGCGTGCCCATTACCAGCAGGGTTGGATATGTGCCTGGTTGGCTGCTTATGGGAAAGTCTGCATTTTTTCCACTATTGGAGTGATAGATACACGCAGCAGCGGCCACACCCACCTCCAGCCAAACTGTACAGCACATGACTCAGCATCCTGGGAATCTCCGGCCTAGCTCGGACTACAGGTGCACCCGTCCTGATTGGCACATTCTCCAGGAGGTGATCAGAGCCTCTTGAGATCTGGAGGGAGTATGGCCTGGGAGTGGGGAGGAGCAGGCTGTCATGCCTGTGGGTAGAGGTCACAGGCTGTCATAACCAATGTGGACGAAGTGCCCAGTACAAGGCCTTGGGTCTCTGGAACTGGCTTTTCTTGTACTGATCACTTTCTCAAAAGGAAATGTTAATTTTAAAACGTGCTTTTTCATGGCTGCCTTTGTCGGACAGGGTGAAAGGCAGTGGTGAAAAAGCACATTTTAAAGGACAGGACATTGTTTCACACCCAGCTAAGTGGAATGAAAAGACCCTCACAGCCCAAGGGAGAAGTAGGTGGTGAAACGGGTTCAGCTAGGGCCTGCCTCTAAGGTCCCATCAGCACAGCAGCAGCGGTGTTCAGTTCCAGAAGTCATTTGTGGTCTGCTGGGACTCCGGGTGGTTGGCTTCTGCTGCCTGCTGCTCCAGGATAGAATCCAAACTCCAAGCATAATGCAGAACGTCTCAACTTAAATTTGGGTATACGGCTGCTGCGGGAGTGGTGTTTGTTCCCTGGTGCATTCAGGTTTGAAAGCTGCCGTCTGTCCAGCTGTAAGCAGGCTGGAAGGACTAGGAACGTGCTGCTCAGAGGTTGTTTACCTCCCCTGTTCCCCACTCCTGAGTCTCCAACCCTCCCTCTCCTCCCTTCCTCCCCCAATCCCGGGTCCCCACCCCACCCCTCCTCCTTCCCAACTCCTGGGTCCCCAGTCCCTCCACCCTCCTCCACTCCCTTCCCTGTCCCTGGCCTTCCCTCCTCTCTGATGCTCCTCCCACTTTCCTGGGTCTCCAGGTTCCCTCCCATCTCTCTCCATCCCCATCCCCACCCAGTCCCCAGCCCTCCCACCCTCCTCCGCCCACTGCCTGTGGCCTGAGTTCACAAAACTCCCTTCACCTTTTGGGGCAGTGGGCTTTAATAATTCTTGGGATATAGCAACACTAGAAAAGGAATGGGATTAACTGGGAGGAAAAAGTGGAAAGATGAGGAAAAGGGCCGTAGTGGAAGGTGATATAGGTCCTTTAGCAAGAGCAAAAATTAGGAAAGATTAGTGTATCTCAACCTTGGCTGCATGTTAGAATCACTTGAGGAGGTCTTAAAAATCACCACTTCAGGCCAGGCGCGGTGGCTCATGCCCATAATGCTAGGACTTTGGGAGGCTGAGGCAGGTTGATCACTTGAGTTCAGCAGTTTGAGGCTAGCCTGGCCAACATGGCAAAACCCTGTCTCTACTAAAAATACGAAAATTAGCTGGGCATGGTGGCCCACACCTGTAATCCCAGCTACTCGGGAGGATGAGGCTGGAGCACCCTTTGAACCTGGAAGGCGGAGGTTGCAGGGAGCCAACATCGCACCACTGTATTCCAGCCTTGGTGACAGAGTGAGATTCCATCTCCAAAAAAAAAAAAAAAAAAATCCCCACTTCAGCCACATCCAATACCAATGAAGGTGAGACTCAAGACGTGTGTAGTTTTTAGAGCTCTCCAAAGAGATTCTAATGTGCTGCTAAGGTTGAGAACCGTTGCTCCAGATTCAGACAAGACATTAAGGAAAGGACAGTGGCTCTGTTTGTTTGTTTCTTTCTGCTCGTTAGCTGAAGAATTAGACAATTGTCCAAACGATCGCTGGTGCTTGTGCACACTCTGTGTCTTACCACATCTGACGATAATTGCTATCAGGCAAGGACATTTAGTATGAATCCACTTAAAAAGAGAATCATGATTTTGTAATCAATGTGAAAAATGTTTGATTGGAACTTCCTACTGAGAAGTGAAATTAAAAGATATTAAAATATATTTTCTTAGTTTAACAAATCTAAATTATAATTGCAACTATTCATTAATTGTTACAAAATGAATTATATGTTAGTTACTTTTCTCAATATTCATTTCCTAACGGAATTCTATATGATAACATGTTTCACTTGGACTTTTAAACCCTATCATAGAAGAGGTGGAGTTTTTTGGTTGTGTTTGTTTTGCAAAATAAGAGTTTATCAGCGTGGGCAACATGGCAAAACCCCATCTGTATGAAAAAGTACAACAGCAATCAGCTGGGCATGGTGGTGCCTGTGATCCCAGCTACTTGGGAGGCTGAGGTCAGAGGATCGCTTGAGCCCAGGAGGTGGAGGTTGCAGTGAGCCAAGATCATGCCACTGCACTCCAGCCTGGGCAACAGAGCAAGACCCTGTCCCAAAGAAAAGAAAAAATATAAAAAAGAGTTTATTAGTTTTCCTAAAAGCCTTTTTTTATTCTTTGATATTTAAATTATTTTCTTTTGAAGGGCCAAGTGGCACTGTCTTTCTCAGCACTCTGCTCTTCAATTGTGAACTGGTCTAAACATGCCAAATCTTCATTTGTCAATGTCTTGACAAGTATTTGTCAATTTGCCAATATTACTTTTGTCACTTTCATGAAATCCTGTATCTTTTGCAAGTTTTGCAGCTTCACTCTGAAGGCAATTTGCATAATATTTACATTACATTTGCTGAATTTTTACAATGGCAAGAGACTGACCCACAGAAACCTAATCAGTGGGGCAGTAGTGTTAACTGAAGTGATGTTTTAACCTAATCAGTGGGGTAGTAGTGTTAGCTGAAGTGATGTTTTAATAGGGACCAGTTTTAAAAGTGACTAATATATGTATTGTGAATATATTATATTCATTAATATATGTATTGTGTATATAATGTATATAATATATTCACTAATACATGTATTGTGAATATAATATATTCACTATATATTAACTAATATATGTATTAGTGAATATTTTCACTACTGAACTTCCTAACTTCAAGGAATTGGATAATGAACACCTGAGTAATGATAAATAGACATATACTTATTGCATATTGACCCATATATACACAAAAGAGGTAACTGTGCACTGTAAAGTATATACTAGTTAACACAGATTATTGTACCTTGTACATAAATGTGGCATTTCAGACAATGTTACTATTTCCTGTACCTGAAGGAGTAGGCATGTTAACTGAGTTTTAGTCAGTGTGTCTTCACAAAGGAAGTGACTGCTAGTTTTTCTATATAGTAATCATAATAATCTCTAATACTTATTGAGCTAAGGCTCTGCTCCAAGCCTATTACCGTATTTACAGCAGCTCTCTGACCAATATGAATAATGCTATCTCCAGGTTGTAAATGAGTTCACATGGATGCTCTATGTTGCTAATGCCTCTTGAAATAACTGGAAGCATTCTGCAACTGGTCTTCACCGGTAGAAAGCCTCTCTCCTTAGTCCAGCCTGAAAAAGCATTTCCTTGGCCCTGGACAGGAAGATAGCTCTGTATATAGGCTTTCTGGCCTGAACATTCATCTCAGAACCCTGAGCTAGTTTGGACTCCTCTGGCAGCAGTTCAGACCCCTCCCAGTACAGCCCCTTAGCCCCGCTTCTACACCCCAGTGCTCAGATGTCCACCAGCTCCTGAGGCACCTTGTTTTCTTTTTCTTTTTAAACAATTATAATTGTTCTAAAGTTTTTCCTTGTGCCAAGATTTTTCCACCCACCCCACCAATCCCAGTTCCGCTGTTGGGGAATTACTACCCTAAACCAATAGAATTCCTTTTCTTTCTTCTTTTTTTTTAATAGGCAAAGGCTCACTCTGTTGCCCAGGCTGGAGCCTAGTGGCTCAAACACAGCTCACAGCAACCTCAAACTCTTGGGCTTAAAAGATCCTCCCGAGTAGCTAGGACTGCAAGTGCACACCATCACACCTGACTAATTTTTTTACTTTTGTAAAGAAGAGATCTCATTATGTGGCCCAGGCTGGTTTCGAACTCCCGGCCTCAAGAGATCCTCCCATCCCTGTCTCCCAAAGCGTTGGGATTACCGGCATGAGCCACTGCATCTGGCCTAGAATTCCTTTTCCGTGGGGATATTCTTCAAGGAGCGGAAGGCACTCACCTGAACTGTGGAGAGATACTCCATGCAGTGGGTATACACCTCTGAAGCACTTGTTCAGCAGGCTGTAAACCTAGAACCAGAGATTTTACTGGAATTGAGCAGTCAATTAGTGAAATAAATTAGGACCCATTGAATAAAGGTTAAAAACGGGCCAATAAATTACTTGTAAAATGTTTGCCTCATCTTCCAAAACAAAGGGTGGGTTTTTCCCCCAGACACCGTGTAGAAGGTGCCTGAAGCTATTAAGGAGAATGTGATAAAGGGTCATGAGGTTAATAACCCACCTCCCAGGCCTGGCTGCCTACAGTTTGAGATTCCCTCGGGGAAGTGCCTCTGCATCAGTTTGTTTTGACAGCTGACCTCTTTCTGAAGCAGAGGTTCTCTCAGAGATGGCCCTGGAGTCTCAGTGGCCACCATCTGGCTGGCTCCTCCCTTTCAGAGGGATGACAAGCTTGGTGCAGGAGAAGCAGCAGCCTCGCAGTTCTATTTTGCTGGGCTCAGATGAGGAAGGCAGGTGGACTGTGTACAGAAGGGAGGAGGCCATTTTTAGTTTCCTCCTTTTCTTATGTTTTTTGAGATGGTGTCTCGCTCTGTCACCCAGGCTGGAGTGCAGTGGTGTGATCTCGGCTCACTGCATCCTCCGCCCCCGGAGTTCAAGAGATTCTCCTGCCTCAGCCTCCTGAGTAGCTGGGACTACAGGCACCTGCTGCCACACCCATCTAATTTTTGTATTCTTAGTAGAGACA